CACTGTTAAATGAGTATAACTTTCATCTCTGAATATTTATAAAGTAAATCGAAATATATATATAAGCGTTTAATGGATCAAATTCGTTCAGTTTCTATAGAATAAATTTGCATTATTCACATACCCATATATCTAATGTAGGAATGGATGCAAGTGATTTGACTCCGGGTTAAGTAAAATATTATTACCATATTATGCATATGCAATGCAATGTATTGTAGTGATGGGATTAAATATCTTGGTCACACCCCCCCTATATATGCATTTAATTAGAGATGATTTTAAATCAGTATTAATTTAGAGAAAAGATTATATGTTTTTGTTTTCTCCTAATTCTAATCACATATGTGCCGTCTCTTTCTTTGGTAACGACTTGGTCTTTAACATTCGACATCCTAAGGCAACGTACATAACTTTCATTAATCTATTCCATAGGGAGTATCTGTAAGATGTGAGTATTATGTATTGTACTTAAGTATTTCGCACAAACTATAATTAATTAATGCATTTATTATTAAGGTACCATTCATTAGATTCGAAATAATAATGCTGACATGCATGCTTGCATGCATGTACAATACATACAATACATACGCACATATATTAACATAACATATTATAACAATCATTTAATTTGCATATAATTTACAAATATTTCACACATAAATTTATCAACGCAATTAATGATTTATTTACATATGTATGAGAGCATATAAACCAGGCATATACGCATTGACGTCCGCATATGTTGTACATGTATATAAAATTATATAATACTTCAACTTAACTTTTCATCATTCAAGTAAATATTGATAAAATTTTCATAATTATTGATTAACATTTCACATTATAAAGATCTTATGCATATATATAAGATATATATATATGTATACATATATATATATATATATGTTAAACTATTTTATTATATTGGACGTATAGCATAACATACAGAGTTAACAAAGGTTAAGTTATGCTTGCATGCATGCAGACGTATACAGTATCATTGATTGCAATTTATTACGTAAACCATATCAACCGAAGCTTTTAAGGTAAGCGCAATTTCTAAAAAGCATTTCTATACATGAGCAAGTACTCGAAGGCGCAAACTTCAAATGCATAATATTCAGCCAATACTCTCAAGTGCTTTCATTGTTAAGTATATTCAAATTTTATTATTAAATTCGTGCGCTTAGCAGACTTTGCCATAAGTACATACCACATATAAAACGAATTCGTTATATTCGTTTGTCGAAAAAGACGATTTCTATTAGTTCGTAATGTACAGGTACTCTGCGATTTGTGTCGGTACTCTACGATCTGCCTGAGCATTGGTTGGTTCTTTTAAAGTCCATGAAAATTAAGCTGAACAATTCTTAGAGCAGAAGACTTTCTATACGTCTGGTAAGAATTTTGTTTTGTATCAAAGGTTACGCGATGGAGAAGTTCTAAGAATAGACAACAAGCGATGGGTATAACTACATTGGGGCGCAGCCATTGATCGGTATACTTTTAGACGAGAAGCGAGCCGATATGACGGCATCGATTCGAAACTTAAGGTCAGTCAAAAACATGTATTCTTTTGGGGTCTCTAGAACATATCTTAAAACTGACACAGCAGAAGATCTCCTTTTTATCTTGGAGAAATTTTTTTAAATAAGCTCTTATTTAAGTGGACTAAAAAAGAGAGAGAGAGAGAGAGAGTAAGTTTTATTTTTATATTTCACTTTCAAGCAACTAAGTCTTGGGCGACTAAGTCTTTTATATGAGAGAAATGCCATTCTTTCGCTATATCGCTATCAGAATGACACGATTTGTACTGCAATTGTGCAAAATTTCAACTTGATCAGACATACTAGCAAGTGCCCGAATTATCAAGTGGCAGTTTCCGTTCTGATAGGTAGGTAGACACTTTGTGGCGCCCATCATTTTGTATGTAAATAAAGGTTGACTATATTACATCGCCTTGCCATCATAACTGAAGAGTAAAATTTTCGAATTGGGGATTGAATACGCGATCGACTGGAAGTTTCCACGATGACACGAAAGCAAGTGAAGTGAAAGCTTATAAAATAACCCCATTGTACCCCAAATGTACACAAGGAGACTCTATAGATATTAGATAGTCGTTAAGTTAAGAGTGCCAACAGAGAATCTGTTATTACAAAAACGCATGTAAGAAAGACAAATACTTTCTTGATAAAAGCTTATAATAGGTTGACAATGTCTGAAATGATCCCTATCCATAACAAGAATTCAATTGCTGCTTTAATCCTCCTTCCTTCTATGTCGTCATATAATATCTTCCAGTTTTCTTTTGAATTATTGTTGCTTTCAAAATTGTGTAAAAGTGAAAAAATCGTCATCAACTATCAATCGGGGAGAATTTATCATGCCCTTGTTAATTCCCTTAATATTGAAACAACAGTGTTTTGGGGGTTCAAAGCTTGGTGCGGTATAGTTTACTACAATCGTCGCTATAGCAAGGGCTCAGCCAGTAAAGTACCATCCCTCAAAGACTGGGCACACGTCCACTCAACTCCGACCATCTCCCTATCCGATTCCTCGTCCTTTACTTCTTTCTAACCATTACTTTGTTATACGAATAGGCGACATGTCCTGAGTGACCTGTCATATTAAAAAAAGCAAATAAAATAAGAACGGTTCGGTATGAAACGAATCTCTTGTTATCTACTACTTATTTACTCTTGTCTTGCCTTTCAAAATGTTTCATTAAAGACACACTATGATATTATGAAGATACCAAGCGAAGCATACTACACAAGTAACTGTTAGACAACAACACTCCTGCCACTTAAGTATGCCTCTGTAAATAGAGAAAATAGAGCAACATAGCTAAAAGCGTAAAGGTCCAAAATTAACAATAGCGATCTACCAACAGCTGTTTTGAAACTATCCTTGAAAGAACACAAATTCGACTATCGCTATAAAATTGGAAGCAGCACTGTTTGAACAAAAAATGAAGTATCTATTGACGTTAATCTGAAGAAATAATGACCGCCGATACTGGCGGAGAGGATGTGACAATCCAGGTCAGAACTTCAACCGTTGCCTAATCGATTTTAGCTACACACACTATTCTTTTGAGAGACACAATTTCTTTGTACTGGAAATTGACGATGCAATGGCTTTTGATGTATTTGATGTATTCGTCTCGGTTGGGCAGGTTGCTGGCGGCAGCTTAGTTTAGTGATCGAGATAGATCGAAAACCAAATACGATTCAATTAAATTCAATTTTTCACAAATTGATACTCTTTGGAAATTTAAGTGAACGACCGACTGCGTCACTCATGTTTAATCGACTTAACATACCCACTTATATGAATATAATATTTGATTGAATTAAAAATTTAAAAATTCAACAAGAGGTTATTCAACTCGTTAAGCCACATTATATTGTAGTTTAATTTGTTAAACAATCCACAAAAGCATAAAACTAGAATTTGAACTAATGAAATATGAATTTTAAATTAATTAAATACTTAACAGCTGCTTGAAGCCATTGTATAAAATTTTATTTAAATATAAAAAATAATAATCTCTGGCTTATTTCTTCGACTGGCCAGAATCCAGTAAATTCTCAAAGGAAATGAAAGAGTGAAAAGGAAACTGAAATTTTCTATTAAAATAAATAATAAAATTGTATCTAAAATACTTAATAAATGTATGGGTTTTTTAAAAGGAAGTTTCCTTCCTATGAACTCTTTGTGCTTGCTTTGCGTAAATGGAAGATTGTAAAAAAATATGAACAAAACTCTCTTAAAATTCCATAAGCGCAAATCTGATTAACGCAAGACGAAAGAAAGAAAGAATAGCAAAGTTGTAAAAAAAAAACATGTTTTAAATTGAATACTTTCGTCCTCACAATTAGCTCAAATTCGCTATTTTCTGATAAATGCATTCAGTAAATACACTAAAAGCAAAACTAGTAAGAACACTATTATGGGCTATGGCTAAATATTAAATACCCTATACCACTTCGCTTACTGTGATTATTCATATACAGACTTTTCAAGTTATATGGAAAATGATCGGAAAAGTGATCCGATCCGAACCAAAGCCCAACAGCGTCCGTCTTCGAACGAAAGCAAATCGGTTAACAAAATTTCATCAAAAATCGCGGCTTGAACACAAGAAAACAAGATGGACGGACGGACTTCAAAAAGTGCTCCTGAATCGCTCGGTGTAATAAAAGAGGTATGTGTCTCATGTTCTTCGGGAGAATGTCCCTGAATAAATTTTCCAATCGATTGATGCAATAAAAAATGAGTCCATCTCAAGTTCTTCTGGGTGTTACATCCATCCCAGCCAACTTAACTTGGCCTGTTATTAAAAGTGCTATAGAATGTAACAAAAATAATTTTCATTAAAATTGTAGTGTAAAAGTTTGATCATCATTTCATCATTGATTTAGGCGTTACATGCATTGGATATTTAAAAATCATATCGTACACCTATAGCGCTACCTCTGTCGCTACTTACAATGTATACTATAACATACCGTACTTAACGCGTTATACAAAGCCAAATATTTACTGTTCGGAAGGACATGGGATGGGAGAGAAGATGCAGAGTAACGTATTTTAATTAAATGTTACATGTATTATGGGAATCATTCAACATCAGACGGGTAGATATCTATCTAATTTCTCGTACATTTAAATGTTTAATCATCTTAAGAGAGGGCTTTAGTAACTGTACTATGTGTTTGGCAACACTTACAGCCATGATCCTACCAACACCGCTATTCTCATTTATCGAAAGGTCAACACTAATACCTTTCCTTCTTACTATATATATATTCCCATATAATAGTAATAGTGTTAAGACATGTGTTTTATTCTCTTTCAGTTGATATTATAGATGAGATCTATTCCTAACATGATACTGTTAAAGTAGGTCTTCTTCGTACATGTCAAAACCTTATCGGGAATACGTGGTCTCTGATGCGTACATTATGAAATGAATGAACACTTACCATAACATATATTCGGCAGGAAGAATGATAGAGAGTCTTTGAATTATCTTTTGATTTTGAATCTTTTCATTCCTTTTACATTTACTTCAGTTTATTGCTTTCAGTTTTCAATGATTAAAATAGAAATTTTCGCAAAATCCTGCAAAGAGTAAGTAAAAGATTATAAAAAATGCCTTTAAGATTATAACCAATAATTTCATATTTAATAAATTTTTAATAAAACAGATAAAAAAAAGTGTTCACTTGGATTTAACTGAATTTTGGATATCAGTTACTACCATCTTACTTTATTTCATAGTTAAACATTAATACTCTTATGACTTTTTCGCGATTAATCGCAATAAATTCCCATGAAATCATAGTAAGATTTTAAAGTTTTCCCATCGCATTTATAGCGTACGTGCTTGTTGATTGGTTTTAATGTCTTTTACTTATATTTGTTGTGTGCAAGGATCAAGGACTTCTTTAGTCATATCATACATTTCATACATATCTTCTCGGTCGCTCTAACATTTGGAGATGAGCTAACCGTATCATGCAGGTTTATTTACTGACTGTAAAATTCTGCTTTCTTTTTTTTTTATTACTCAGCACTCTTTCACATTTTCACTAACACTAAAACTTACTCTGCCTTGTTCTATCTACCTTACTTATACTTATCATATATATATACACTCACTTATACTTCTTGTCTAACTATGTAGGGTGCCACACACACATGCACCGATCCAAATGTTCATATGCCGCCAAGTAAGTTAAAAAGCTTCTGCTGCACTTCGTTTTGCTTGATCTGTGGCAAAACTTTTCGCAAAGGCCGTCTATCAAGACTTATAATCGCATCCCGTAACCAAAAAGCAGTTATTTGAAAGTATCGGTCGACAACGGAAAAGACTTACTGGATACACAGACACCATATCAAAAAGTTTATTCTCATTTATTGTTAAAAAAAATAATTATTTCGTTCCATCGAAAATATTAATGCTTTTATATAAGAATTACCGTACTTCGAACTTGACAGTCTAGAGAGGTGATGTGATCATAAAAAATTGCAAAACATTAGGAAAAACCAAGTAAAGGACATTATACTCAGACGAGGCCGACCATTGGATACCTTAGACAATTTCTCCTTTTTACAGGTATTCACTCTTTCAGGTGGTAAATCACTAAAAATTATGCTTTTGTTTGATATACAGACATATTTTTATTAAAACGCCCGCTTGTTGCAGGATATCCACAACATATGATGCGATTCAAATTTAGAAAACTTAATTTATTTCCCAAAAATTTTTGTCGTAAAAAATTAAAAATTAGACTTTGTGCCCGTATAAGTGCTTGTTTTTTACAATCACCCCTATAGGTTTGGGGGCCTAAAAAAACACGCCTACCTAATACTTATTCACCACCTTTAATTTTGTTGCCTAATCGCTACTATAAACTAATTTTCGTCATAAAATATTAAAAGTTACACTTTTTTCATGGGAAATCTCATATAGAGAGTGAGATTCAGGAAATAGAACCAAGTCGTTCAAGTTTGATTCCTTAATTTTTATGTCAAATTACTTTCATGAACAAATTTTCATTATAAATCATTTACATTTTCTGAGATTCCTTATATATGGAGTGGTGTCCAAAAATCCTAATTGGTTTAAATTTTCTAAATTTGATTTCTATGTTAGTTTAACGATATGAATTAATTTTCATTATGAAATATTGAAAATTCCAATTTTTTATCATTCAGTTTTCGTAGGAACAGTTATATGAGAGGAGATTGAAAAAATTGCTCCAGCCGAACAAAATTTTTTATAGCGGTTTACAATGTCGAAATACAGCACTCAGCGATTTTGCTTGGAAAATTTTGATAACTGCAACTTTTTTTCATATAAAAAGTTTTCAAAATAAGGCGTTATACAGAAAGTGGTCAAATAAGTGACGCGTTCCGAATGTGCTTCAATAGTGTTCGTACTTGGAACAAAGCATGTCAAAGCGTATCAAGTTTCATCAAAATATCTCAAAAGCTGCGACTTTTAAGTAGAACATAAAAATAGACGGGCAGACAATAGGCGGGCAGACAGGCAGACGGACAGACGGACAGATAAACTTAGATCGATTCATTTCTAAATAGCTCGACATAATAAAGGACAACCTACTTTAAGTCCTTCTGGGTGTTACATCCGCACAAGCTTAATATTGCCTGTACCACAAGTGGCGCAGGGCATTTTTAAGACCAGAACAAACAATTTAAAGATTCGTAGAAATACAAAAATTAATGTAATTCTAATTAGGGCAAAAGCTGTCACTTCGACAATTTAATATTTATTTCAAAACTGAACATTGTTTGTTTGTTTAAATTTCAAAGGAAGTCATCTATTATGAATGTTTGTTTGCTTAGTTTAATAATTAACTTACATTTAAATTATACGCTAAAAAAAAGGGAAAGGCAGTAGCAACAAGACTTTGTGTGTTTCTTAATAATTAAATTCAGTAGACTTTGTAGACAAGAGTGGCTAAGTATTCAAGCTTTACATTTTCAAAAATTGTTTTTAAAAGTCGGCTTGAGTAGCCAAGTAGTCAAGATTCGCAACTACTAACTCAGTGTTCATGGGTCCGAATCTTAAGTACACTAGAGTTTACTTTTGGTCGTACCTAGCGAGGTACGCTGCCTCTTCATCTCTTTATCTTTCCTCCGTCATCGCATTACACGAATAGTATAGACAACCCTTTGAGCGATTGGTCACATATATAATATAATAATAAAATAGGAAGAATTGGGAAAATTATTTTTTATTCTCAATTTCGGTTTTGATGGTCAAAGGATCAAATTTCACTGGAATAATTTAGGAATAAATATAAATAAATTTTCAGCTTTTCTTCTTATTAAATCGCTAGCAAGTACTCGAAGGTTTGGGATTGTTTTATAGTTCACGATAGCTGTGCGTTATAGACCCGCTGCAATGAGTAGAGCGTTTACAACTGTCGATGAAAAGCGTTATAGTGATGAGTGTTTATCACGATCACAAGTTTTTTTTTTTAAATGGTAAAAATCATTTAATGGCGATCGCGAAGTAGTGGAAGGCGAAATTCGTTCCATCAAATTCAACTAGTGGTCTCAACATTAACGAAATCAAAGAGTTTGTGCTTGTCAACCGCCGATTGACCCAAAGAAACTTTGCATATGTTGTTGGTGTATTAAAAGAATTATTAATACAAATAACTTTGAAGGATGATATAGGCTTGTCTAGCGTGTCTTCTCGTTTTGTTCCAATAGTTTTTGAATTTGTTCGAAAACCGAAATCGTGTTGGAGTATGAAGAGAAATATTTTCTACGAGCGATGATGATCTAAAATAGATAATTACTAGCGATGAGAGTTCGATATGTGCTTACGACCTGGAAAACAGTCCAACAATCTATAAGTTGTTCGCAACCGTGATATCAACCTACCAAAAATATATATACATCGACATCGGAGCCCTGATATTTAAAAAGAAAGAAAACATAGTCGATCGTAGCGATACGATCGTGTTTACTCGATATTGGAGAACTTTTAATCTGTCCTTGAACATAGTGAAGGATATTTTTTATGTTTCTTCGGGGCATATATGCACAAACGGTATAATAATTTTAGTCTGCCGTTACCCTATAGTTTTGAAAAGTATGTAATTCAACTCAATTTCAATTAATTTCCAAGGAATTTTTATTTTTTATTTATTTATTTGTGAAAATTCAAAAAATACAAAGCAAAAAAACAACAAATAAAAGAAGCAAACTAAACATGAAAAAAAAAGGAATTGAAACGAAAATTTAGATTCTTGTCAAGCATAATAGAATTTCTGAGAAAATAAATATATATACATATATATATATATATCTATGTATATATATATATAAATAAAAAATATATACATATATATTATTTTTATCTGAGTTTATTGAAAATTTTCATGCAATTTTCATATAATGCCTTTCGTAAACTTATAAAAACCAGTTTTTCTTTTTCTTTCTTAATCACACTGTGGCCTTTGAAACCGCATAACCACAATACGACCATTGACTTGGGATAGGTTAGTTGTGGTATGATTGTTGTTGTTGCTATTGCTATCGTGTTTCTTGAAACTTCTACCACTACTACTACTACTACTATTACCTACTGTCGTTAACATTCAATTCAATTATTCATGGCTGGCTTTAGTATTTATTTTTACAATTTATTACATTTTATTTGTTCTTAGAAAAACGTCGCTTTTTATTTATTTTTTATATTAAAAAGAAGCAAAAAACCTTTGTATAAATAAAGCTTAATTGAAATTTGTTTTTATTAATATATATATCTAAATATATATATATATATATATATATATGTATACATGTATATGTATAGATGTATATATATAAATGTATATAGAAATGCGTATATATATATGAACACTTATATACACCGATCCTATTAGTTAATATAACAGCATGTATTTGTTATTGTTAAACGAAACAGCTTGAGTTAGTAGATTTGAAAGCGTCTAATCCACAATTGTTTTAAAACGAAAAATAATATGTAAATTTGTTATTTACTGTTTGGTAAGTAACGATAATTGAATTGATAACCAACTGTGAGAATTATTAATTTTTTTTTATACCCTACAACACTTGTGATGCAGGGTATATAAACTTAATGCGGTCGTATGTAACAGGCAGAAGGGTTTCAGATAGATCCACCTTTTGTTATACCCATCGATCCAGAATCATAATCTGAATTGATCTAAGCCTGTTTGTCCGCCTGATGTCTATCCATGTAAAATTTGTGTTCAAACAACAGGACGCATTTTTTGAGATATTTCGATGAAATTTGGTGCAGTGACCTATTTTGCTATAAGGACAAGCGCTATTGAAAATGGTTCGGATCTGGCCAGTTTTTCGATCGCTCCCCATATAACGCCCTATTCTAAAGAGTCATTATATAGAAATAAGTTGTAATTTTCAAAATTTCTTAGCAAAAATGCCTAAGTAGTAGTTATTCGACATTCGAAATTGGTATGAAAACTTTGGACTGGGGGACTGGGGCAATATATGAGATACATAACTAAAATTCAAGTTTATACGTCAAAATTGTGTAATTTTCAATGCTCCTTAATGAAAATTATTTCACA